GTCCGTTCTCCTGGCCACTGGGCCACCTGGTTGCCTACTAGGTTTTGCTAGTCGCTGTGAGGACTCTCCTCGTAGGATGAGAGAGTCTCTCTCAAGGCTACTCTTTGTTTTCCTAGCCTGACTGTCTTAATACCCTAGAAAAAGGTACTGCCAAAACCAACAGTCATCTTAAAAGGCCTTTTACAAAGACGTGTTTACCAAAGGTGGGAAGATGTAAGGTAATCCTCACATGTCATGCATGATGCAGCCTGTGCTTTTTAGAGTAGCTTTTGATGTCGAAGAGCTCTGAATTTAAAGCAAATCCAAAGGTAAAAAGGAGGAAGTCCAATAGAAAGAGTGCTTTATAAACTACCCAGGAACCTCAAGACCATACCCCCATGAACCTGGTGTTCGTTCATTGTACTAGAACATGCCGAGGTAGTCAGTGCATTTTCAAGAGCAGTTGCATCAGATTATTGCAGAACAAAGTGGATTAACCCAGTAGTTTGAAGGCTGGAGAATTCATGAGTCTGAAAACTGAAAGAGGCCTCAAGAGATTATTTGGTTCGTCCCCTGCTGCTGCCATGCTGGGCTGGCGGGACTCGGAATTTGCATGTGATGGATGGGGTCAGGGAAGTGAGAGCCCAGCCCAGCACTGTCAGCTGGCCCAGGGGCCAGGGGACGCACCTGCAGGCCCCACTGCTGGCTCTCCCGTCGGGTCTGCTGTGCCCCAGCTCAGAAGATGGCTTCCAGCTCGGCTGCCCGGTGAATTCCACTTGGCATAGTGGAATCATGCTTTGGAGGTTCTGGAAGCCCCAATCATCATTCAGCTTACTGGTCCTCGCTGGCCTGAGACTGCTGACTGATTGGCTGTCCGATAAGCTAGATTTCACTGTAACGGTGACATGCGTACTGCCACTGTGTCTTACTGCGTCTGCATGGGCAGTGAGACCAGCGCCCTTGGCTGTCATGCCTGCTGGGACTGCATCTTCCTAGTGGCCCGGAGGTCTTCCTTCATAAAAACACACGCTGCGGGAGGGAAGGACTCTTCAGAAATGACTACACAGTGGCATTGCAGATGAGAGCCCTGAGAATGAGGGACAAGCCATGGCCTGCTGGTGGCCACGCGGTTGATCGTAGCCACTCAGTTTCTTATGCTCAGTCCCCATCAACATAGGAGAGTCTTCCACCGCCTCTTGGTTAACCCCCCATCCGTCCCTGGGGAGGAACACGGTTGGATTCTTTGGCTGCACAGCCTGACACTACTCTTCCGGTTGGCTGGGGTGACTGCCGGGGGACAAGATGACACGGGTTGGTGAGGGCAAGCTGGGGGGCGGTGCAGACCCAGGGCATGGCGTGTCTTCTCCACGCTTCTCCTCCACTCAGGTCGCTGCGTGGGGACCGAGAGACGTTGCTGACACCCACTGCTGTCTCATCCACAGTCTGGGTCTGTTCTGTGCTCTCCAGGGCACCGGAGGGCTAAGTACCCAGAACGTCGTCCCAGCGTGGCACGGGCGCGACCCAGGGACAGAGGCTTGGGGCTCACAGGTTGCATGAGAATAAAAGTTCAAACACACAGAGAAGCTGAACGAAATAGTATAGAGATCACCCGTACCCCTACCACTCAGTAAACAGCTAATTATCTTCCATCTCTGCTTTGTGGAGGTTTCCGTGCGTGTGCACACGCGTGTGTGCGTGGGTTCCGCAGCCGCGAGCGGGTCTGTGCAAACCCGGTCCCAACGTCCGAGGAAGCCAAGAGGCCAGAGAAAGAGCCTGACAAATCCAGTTTCTCAGAAAGAAACATTTCATAGGAATTTGCAGACAGAAGGCCGGACTGTGGGTCTCTGCCCTGCCACCCCCACACCGGGCTTCTACACCTTAGGGAAGGAATGTGTGGGACAATTCATGTCCACCCCTCCGGGCAAGGCAAGAAGGTGACTCTGCCCAAGGGCAGTGTGTGCACAACAGAAGATAAAGTAGAATTTTAGGAACGGCAGTTAGTCCGCAGCAGCCTGGCGGTGGGCCTGCCAGGTGGAGCTGCTTCAGCCTCCGTGCCCGCGTGGGCGGAGGTGTTTTTGTGAAATCTCTGAAAACAAAGATGCAGACATCAAGACGGTCTACACAGCCACAAGATTATCAGCACACACTGAGAAAGCTACTTGAATTCCCTAATATCATCTAATACTCGGTCTACGTGCCAGTGTCGCTAGTTGTTTTGAAACGGTTGATTGCAGCTATTATTATTATTTTTTGAATCAGAATCCAATCAAAGTTCACCAGCTGCATTTGATTGTTTTGCCAGACTCCTCTTTGAAGGGCCATTGAGAGAAGCCCCCGTAGAAACCGGAGTCATCTGTTCCTCTGTGCAAAGCCCAGGGCCCAACCCAGAGGGGAAGGGGGGGCCGTAGCCCCAAAGTCTTCGCCCAGAGACCAAATGCCAGGTCAAGGGTGGCAGTGCCCACCGGTTAGAGGCCGCCGGGCTCCGGGGACGGTCCCACTGCGTGCCAAGGGCTCCTCCGTGGGGCCTGCGAAGCCCCCCGCCCCCCACGCCGCTCATTGCTGGGGTTCTGGCCTGTTTGGAGAGGGAGGGGCCCCAGTTCTGCCCGACTGGAGCTGCAACTGGCTTCCTTTATGAATGAAGGAAACAGGGAAACGTATTTATTTTCACTCTTGTCTCTGAGTGACATCTTGGGTTAGGCTCTTTCTCTCTCTCTCTCATAGTTTGTCAAGAAAATATGTGAGGACACATCTCTCATCTCTTGCAGACAAGTCCAGAGCCCCAGGGCTTGGTGCCGTGGCCACGGGGAGTCGGTTTCTGTACATCACTGTGAGCTGCTGAGCTGGAAGAGCCTCGAGCTCCACTCTGTCAATCAGCCTGTTGTTTACCCCAAAGGGAAGGCATGAGTCATCGCTGGGAAGCGGGGAAGCAGGGAAGCGGGAGAGAGGCTCGGCTGAGGCCCGCCGTGGGGGAGGGGTGCTGCTGCAGCCTGGAGAACAGAGAGAACTGGGTGCAGCTCCCTGGGCCTGAGCCCGGCTCCTGGTTCCCCTCGAAAAGCAGCCATTCTGCAGGCAGGGGAGAGGGAAGAGCCGTGCACAGGGCGCGGAGCCGGGCTGGCGCACTCCCCAGAGAGGGGTCCCCACGCCGGGCACTGGTCTGAGAGCCCTGCTTCTGCTATCTTCCATGCTGCTCTCCCTGAACCCTGAGAACCCCCCGGGGAGAGGAAGCAGGACTCCTTCGGGATTGGGAGGTCGTGTGCTTCTTCTCCTGCTAACCCGGAGACAGATGTATCTTTCTGAGCCTCCATGTGGGTGCCAACCCGGAGGCCACCGCAGCCTTAGCGTGCAGGTGCCACGAGACCTAGGGGCGAAGGCACCAGAGTTCAGGGGCTCCACTGGACATGAAGGAACCTTTAGCCAAAGGACCATGACACTTTAGCAATCACAGAGACCTCAGGCCACCTGATCCCACCCCTCCCCCGAACAGAGGAAGAGCTGAGGCTCAAGGCAGGTCCCCTGCCTGGGGCTGCTGGGCTGGCTGGGGGCAGATCGGGGCAACCCCAGCCCCTGCTCCCAGGGCCTTTCCGCCTCACACCGCCTCCTCCCGAGTTTGGGACTCAGCTCTGCGCATCTCCCTGCGGCCTCTGGTTGTGTAGGGCCGCGAGACCTTGGCAGACACTGACTTGCAAACACAGAGGAAGGGCACAGGCACAGGACCTTCGGTAAGTGGCATTAACCCCGTGGCAGTGAGGGGGCAAGCGTGGTCAGAGGCGAGGCTGGCCAAGGTCCCCGCAGAATCTGCAGGCTGACCCCTGCCCCCACACCTGCCTCGGGCTTCTGTCCTCGTTCGAATGTCTGCTTGACCAGCTGGCCTGACAACCCCTTCTGGTGACAGATTTCTCATCTGATACTAAACTGATCATCCAACCGCCCTGAGCTGTTCTCTCTCACTGGAGGGAGCAGCTCTCTGCAGGTGAACTTCACGCCGCACTTTATCGCCGCGCCAAAGGGAAGGGACACACCCAGCTGCCAGGGGGTCGCGCCATCCGTTTCGGCGCTGCAGACCAACAGTCCAGAATTCGGGTGTGCCACTGACCAAGTTGTGTCCCCTCAAACGCAACAGCTCCTCACCCTGAGACCCTGCCCGAACACACCCGGGCTTCAGCCTGCTGGTGTGTCTCCGTGAGCCCGCCGAGTTTCCGGGGCCTGCTGAGTGTTCTGTCCACAAACTGTTGAGCCAAACTCGGTTTTTATGCTCGGACTTCATGCTCTTTGGGGAGAAAAGAAAAAGAGGATACCCTGTGAGCAGCCGGCTAGAGCTGTGTCGTTGCGGACATGATGGGTACAATTCATTTTGGTGCAAAAACTAATGGTGACATTTTACCAGCAGAGTCCACAGAAACGCTGCCTAGGCTAGGCTAAGATTATTTTTTAAATTTCTGAGTATTCTGGCTACATAATAGTTGTGTGTCTTTATAGGCCACGTGGGATGTTTGGATGCAAGCATACAATGTGAATTAATCACGTCAGGGTGAGCGGGGGTAGCCATCACCCCAGGCATTTATCATCTGTGTTAGCGACATTCCAGTTCCACTCTTCTCGTTATTTTAAGGCATATCCTAACTCATTGTTGATTATTGTCAGTTTGTTGTGCTCTCAAATGTTGTTCATTCTATCCAACTAACTATATTCTTGTGCTCATTAACCACCCCACTTTATTCCCGCCTCCCCTTGTGACCCATCCCAGCCTCTGGTAACTATCATTCTACTCTCTGTCTCCATGAGAGCAATCGTTGTGAATATTTAGCTCCCACATACGGGTGAGAACATGCCAGATTTGTCTTTCAGTGCTTGGCCTATTTCACTTAACACAATGTTCTCCAGTTCCACCCATGTTGCTGCCGGTGGCAGGGTTTCATTCTTTTTAATGGCTATGTAATATTCCATTGCGTATGTAATCCCACAGTTTCTTCCTCCAGTCATAAGAAGATTTATGTGTGTGTTTGTTTTTGCATGCACAGGAGTGCTGAGCTGCTGGAGCTGACCCTTTGTAAGGCATTGGAGCGCCGTGAAGAAGATGAGATCAAGTACCAGTCGAGCACCACGAAACAGTTAAGTTGGCTTTTCTTTGTCTTTTTTTTTTTTTAATCACAGAAGCATATTCCTTCCAAAGGGTCTGCCACCTTCTTGTTGCTTGTTTCTTTCTTTGATGCAGTCTTTCCTCTTTTTCTTTCTCTTACTTTTAAATTTCACCAAGAAGAAGAGCCTGCAGTAAGATTGGAATGTTCCAGTGTTGGGAGCGTGGTGCACTAATGAGCTACAAACGCGATGGGTCAGTGGGTGGAAGTGGCAGAAACTACAGCCGATTCTTCCATCCCAGGGAAAAAAGGCAGAGCTCTTGAGTGTGATGAGAACCGGGGTTTCTCCGGGATGAACCGCCACCCGATGTCACTCCTGAATTACTTGAGAGCTCAGAGGCTCAGCTTTGGCCAAGCCCACTGTCCCCAGGCAAGCCACATGCCTTCCTGGGTCTGAGCCTGTCCCTTGCTGAGAGGGGCTACCTGGTACTGCATCGAGCCAAGCCCCTGCTCCGCCCTTCTGTGTGGCGCAGGCATCCCAGATGGCTCCCGGGAAGGTTTCAGGGGATACACAGGGGAATGTATTTTTTACTTAATAGCTACGTTTTCATTTTAATGCATTTTAGGGAAAAATATCTAGACCATCCAGTGAGTAATTTCAAGGATGTGATTGTATAGGATGAAACTAAGTATAAAATTAAATTGACTTAAAGTCAACTTTGGGGATTAAATAGTATCGGAGAAATCATGGCATGCAGATGACTGAAATGGATGCAGTGCTGCTTTGTTGCCTGTTCAAGTCTGGATTTCCAAGCTGTCCCAGCCCACCAAGGCCTCCCCAGCCCAGGTCTTCATCGCACTGTGGTCTCCTGAGGTTAGCAAACCCCACTGCAAGGCATGTTCCATCTTCTGGACCAGGGAGGAAGCAGCCCTCCCCCAGGGCTCTCACCGAGGCCCCTTTGCAGCACCTAGAACAGGATCTCATCGCATGGTGAGGACATGTTGGCTGCTGGGTACAGGGTGTTGATGAGGCCCCTCTAAGGAAGGGGCACTTGGGAGCCTACCTTTGTGCATCTCTTCCCTCAACCTTGGTTTTAGGGGAAAAAGTAAGCCCGGAAACCAACAGAATGGCAAAGGTGTTTTGACTTGGAGAAAAGAAAATGGCTTTCTCTATTTGTCTTCAATTGCCAGGACGGAGGAAATCAAAGCAAAGCAAAAGAAAATTGCTGCTCTGCAGACAGCCTGCAGGAGTCCTGATGATTTGGCCGTTGGCAGGAGCTGCCTGCCCAGAGAGGCAGCTGCAAGAAGGGCCTTGGAAAAGGTGAGATGCTGTTACCATGGGCTCAGGGAGGTGACCTGCTCTCAGTGGTCTTGAAACAGGGACACTAAACTGATCCCTTTGCCACCCCAGGAGCCAACAAGAAAATGGATTTCTCCCTTCAGAACTGTGGTATAATGGAAGTACTTCTTTTGTCTGATGCATTTAAAGACTTTAGATTTAGAACCGTGCTTTGCGTTGAAATTCTGAATCTAAACTAAAGTGGCAGAAAGGACCCTCCCTTCATTTGCAAAATAAAAGCACCCCTGGTCAAGAAGTGTTGTTTTTGTTTGGATCCTGGTTCTCTGCAAATGGTTACCTTATTTATTTTAAATGCCATTTCTGCCTTTCAGTTTTGAGATTTTTCAGAAAACATGACTTCCCCAGAGGGCCAGGTGGCTAAAGGAGAAAGACGTTTCATTTTTTCTTGGTCACGAAATAAATGTGATATCTTTCTAAAGTTGTTACTTTTAAATTGGACTGGGTTTTCTCTTTCCTTCAGTTGAACAAGTTGAAGAAAACAATGTCATCACTTGGCTATCAACCACCGAGATGGTTCTGTTTTATCTGGTAATTTATATGCAGGGTGTGATATATAGTTTAACCTTCCTAATTGGGGACCACACTGTCTGAATTAGCGACAAGACTGAATTATGGTGCTTTTAAGAAAAGATATTCCATTTTAGCACTTCCAAGTTCATGAGACCATTAGAACTGGTCTCCCAAAGTATTACTCAGTGAAGTCTCTCTGGGGAATCTTTCTGAAAGAGAAATAAAGAAGAGCTTGTTCCTCTGAACACACTTGAAAACAGCATATTATTTTAGGTTGTTTATGCATTTCCTCTTCACATTTTATTTGCACTAATGAATTTGTCCGAATGAATTACTTTGTAAGATTGGGGGCGGGAGTGGAAGAAGACTTGGGAATTGGTTCTGATTTCCTCGGCGGCTCAGTAAATTTCAGCCCGGCTCCCTTTGTGGATGGCCGCAGCCTGGTCCAAGGCAGGGATGGCTGAGAGATTTGGGGTTTCATCTCTGTCCAGATGATCTAGAAAGACAAAGACAGAAAATTAAGAAGAGAGGAAATGGTGGTGGCTTTGGGTGACATATCCTTCCAGTAAGTGGGTCTGGGGGTGTCCTCACTCAGCCGCCAGGAACACAGCCCTTCACAGGTCCAGGTGTGAGGGGCCAGGTGAGCCAGGCGGCTCTTCTCAGTTCCAGGGTTTCCTGAAATCAGCCCACCTCTAAGAAGTGCCACCATCTTACACAACGAGGACTGTGGCAAGGAGGCAGGCCCACACTTGCCACCAAAGTCCACCAGGCCTATCGGAAACCCAAAGCTGAGCTCCTGCCCTTCGCGTGGGTGCCGTAGCAGGTCCCCTCCACCACGGGGCAGCCCTCGTCACCACCACCAGTGGCACCTGCGATGCCTCTGAGCACCTGCCGCTGGGAAGGCCTGGGCTGGAGACCCCGTGGCTAAGGAGGTGGATTGGTCATCAGGGGGAACGGAAATCCACAGGAGCCTACCGTGAAATATCAATATTAATACACCATTTACATCTCGTTAGGGGGAAAGGTAAACCTGTCTCGACAGGGATTGCTTCTGCCGTCAAATGTGCTGGGAGGAAGGAAACCTCACGCGTAAAGTAACATGCCCACCAGGTGACGGCGACATCACCTGTCTTCGGCGAGACTTGCGCTGTGGCGAGGTCTACGGGGAGCGGGTGAGGGGCTGTGCTGCCCGTCCCTCTCTGTGGACGTGTTTTCAAGGGATCTAGGATGGCTGTTTCAACCTCTTTGGAACCAACAGTAGGAAGAAGAGTCAAAGAAGAGAGTGAGGCAGGAACGCAAGGCCAGCCACCAAAGCCCCAAGCAACTTCCCAGGTAATTTTTCTTTGATTAGGACTCAAGAGCTAGCCTGCGCGCAGAAGGCGCCCACTGTGGTTTGATGGCGGCAGGAGGCCTCCGGCCCGAGATCTCCATGCCAACAGAAGGATGAGCGGAATGCCCATGGGCACAGTCGGCTCTGGCGCAGTCAGCCGGGGCCTGCTTTGCAGAACAAGGGCCTAGGGCAGGGTTTTCGCCCAGGTGTGCCTGGGGACTGTCTGACCACGAACAGTGAATAACTCTCGCCTAGGAGGGTGCCAGCAGGGCTGCCTGGTGTTTGTGTATTTGTGATCCGCGGACCACTGAGATCTGCCCTCCCTGCAAAGGAGGTGCTCCCCTCCGAGTATTCGGAAACCAGTGGAGTCACAAGGAAGCTGGTCAACTAGTCTTCTTGGCATAAAATACTCTCATTGTCACGGACACATGCAAAACAAGTGAGAAACAGGGGTGCTTATCTGCAGTCGTTAATCACTTTTGGGTATTGCAGGCAAAAGGATAAATTATTTGAGGCGGTATTTTAGTCTGCACTATGCACGTGTGTGTGTGTGTGTGTGTGTGTGTCTATCGCATTCTTGTTATTTAGGATTTTTCCTTGAGTGTGCATTTTAGTTGAAAGTAATTACTCAGAAAAATATGGAAGGAAGAGAAAAGAATCCCGTGTGTTATTATTCTTTGCTCATGTCTTAAGGGATCCGTTCTTAAAAAAAAAAAAAAAAAATTTAATTTTTGGCAAAGCCAGAACGACTTAAAGCAGATAGGAGGAAGGCTGTCATGCCCGCTTCAGCCCTTTATACCAAAACAGCCCTGGCTTTTCCGGGAACAAGGAGAGATCACCCAGCAAAATTCCGTTTGGGGTTGGCTTTGATGTCCCGATGTCTAGATGCAACTTTAAACATCTTTTAAATTCACAGACCACTCCTAACAGCCTTTTCTCTTCTAAAAGGAAATTACTTGGAACAAATATGACATCGATTTTCCATCTTCCTTGATTAGTCTCATTTGGTCTGATTTTTATTATTTAAGGCTTACCGACAACGAGGATATACAGTTAGCGATGGTTCTAATTAGATTTTGTGACCTTTAAGGAAGAAGAGGAGGCTCTGGGCCCGACAGCGTCTGAAGCTGCCAAAGAGCAGGGCCGGGATTTATGAGTCTCTCCCCACGGCTGGAACGTGACGCTTGGACAAATAGCCCGCGTCTGCCCTGGAGGAGGGGGCCGGGCGGGAGGGGCGGGCAGGCTGGGGAGGGCCCTGCCAGACGGGGGGCAGTGGTGCCACCGCAGAGGCACCGGCCACAACCGGCCGGGGGTTGGTGTGGTGGCTTTGGTCCACAGACGGTCAAGTGAGGAACACGGACGTCAAGCGGGCCTGGCTTCCGATTGGGCCCGCTCGCAACCAGTGTTCCGCGCGGGAAGGATGAGGTCGAGGGGCCGATCGGAAGCGCGGGGAGGCCGAGCCACGCTTCCGTGAAGTGGGTGCGGTGCAGAGGGGACCCACGTGGCTTGGACGTTGGGACATCTGCTGAAGGGGCAACCGACCCGTCAGAGAGTTGGGGGGAGCATGCATTTCTCCAGGCCTGTTTTCCACGAGGGCTTGGGCTTTGCCACGCACTGACCCAGGGAGAGGGAAGCAGTGGTCTGTGCCGCGTCCAGTCTCCCCTCAGCCAGGCATCCGCTGGGGCCAAGCCCGGAGCCCGGCAGGGTGCACGGGGCCAGAGCAGACTCTCTAGCGGGCTCCCTGTGCAGGCGCACCTGCTCCTCCTGGGTCTGCAGGGCAGGGCAGGTGGCGCGACGCCAGGGCCAGTATGTGCCCGAGACCCCCCGAAAAGCGTCTCCAGTGTCACGTTTAAGGTGGACCCTGATTCCCAGGGCCCCAGCCGCAGGCTCGCCTTAGGCTCACAGCCGCCCACCGGGATGTAATGAACACTTACAGAGACGCAAATCGAAAACAGACGGGAATTCCCGGTGGACGCCTGTGTTATTTTCCTCCGGTGTGACTCAGGAGGAGCAGGGCTGGCGCCTCGGGGGGCTGAGGTGGAGGCCGAAGCAGAGCCGTCAGGGAACACACCCGGCACAAAGCGCACCCGAAGCAGAAAAAAACCCGCAAGACAAAGACACGGTTACTGAAAACCAAGACGCTCTGACAAGCTCGCCCGAGGATGAAAATGAGGAGATATAGTTCAGAAATGCAAAAACAAAATAAGAACGAACTCTAAATAAGAAATTGCCGGAATTTCCAGCGGCGCTCAGCTGAACTCTCTGCTGCATTAACCACGCAAAGCAGGAGAGCAGCGTCCGCGTGGGGCCTGGTGGCCCGTCCTTCTCAGCGGGAGGGAGTGGGCGTCTGGGAGGACCTAGGGCGCAGGGGCTAGAGTAGACGCTGAGCCGCCCCAAATGCTTTCCATGCCGGGAAGTTCATGAGCGAGAACGCGGACTGTGCTGTCTCCTTGGGCTTGGGGGGATGGGCGCGTGTTTGCGGCGGGGCGACGGTGACCAGCCCACGGCCGTGCCTACCCAGGGCTCGCTGCGTGTGCCAGGCACAGACCTGACACCCTCGCGCCTGTTCACGGTTAAAGACGGGGTCGAGAGGCAGCTCGCTGGAGTCCCGCACTCACCGCTGGCTCTGCCCTCCTGTTTGCCGAGCAGTTCTTCCAGGGGCCCCCCGTCCCTGATCTCAAATGGCCCTTCCTTCTGGGCCAGTGTGCCTGGGACCAGCTCCTACCTACAGCCCCCGCCAGCCTGTGCGATCTTGGGCCAGTTAATCAGCCTCTCTGGACCTCAGGTTCTCCCTCTGTGAGCAAAGGCTAGCGGAGACGTGAGAGGGCTGCCGTAAGGTAAAGCACCTGGTGCACGGTGCACAGTAAGTGCTCAATAAATGTTAGCGCTTCAGAATGCGAACCCTAGCACCTTCGCCTGCTATTGAGGCTGCTCCGGCACGCAGAGGCAAGAGGGTCTCTGTGCTGACCGTGCCCCCGCCGAGTCCGTGGTTGGCGCTTCGGAAGGGAACTGCTTGGGTGCGGGGAAGTCCTTCCTCCCAGAGCCCCGCTGCAGCACCGGGGCGCTTACGAGACGGGCCGGGTGGACTTTATTTCACGAGGCTCTATGTGGCACGCCAACAAAAAGAAACCGAGCGATGTTCCTGGGGGTGTCCCGCCAGTTCCTTCCCGCCGGCCGCTGGGGCCCCTCTCGCTCGTCCCCACAGAAAGCACAGCCCCGGGGCCCTGTGCCGCCCCCGACCTCTCGGGTGACTGGGAAGGTGATCCTGGACGGGGTCACCCGGGCCCTGGCTGCACCAGGGGCAGAGAGCCCCAGCGCGCCCGCGGCCCGCGGGCGGGGTGGCGTGTGTGGTGGCAAGCTGTCAGGAAGGCAAGCCTAGCAACGGCGAGAGGGCTTTCTCTTATGAT